CCCTTCCTATATCCTACTAACTATTCAATACTTAATGGCTATGATGATTATGCTGAAAATGTGACACTACCCTCACCATTAATATTTGGATCATCATGCTATACTGATGCATGGGTTAGTTTAACTGTATACAATAGTACAGTAGTTACTTCATTTTATAGATAAGTACTAATGGATTGATTAGCTTGGGAACTAGTTTTACTAATTATCGTCCAAATCTCTTTCCTATTGCTACTCCAGTCATTGCTCCATATTGGGATGACAATGACTTACGTGTAGGAGGTGAAGTACATTATGCTGTTATGACTCCAGCAACTAATCTTTCATTGTGCAATCAAGTCAATAATTACTTATCTACTTCAACTGGTAGGAGTGTATCTGTTGAATGGATACTGTGGGCCTACTGGAAGGATGCATGTCCATTCCTTATTAATTGCAACAATACTAAGGTTAATATAAGTGTCTGTGATATAACTAAATTGACACTATTTTTTATAGCCTAACAGTTTCCAGGTTGTATTAGCTTTTCAAAGTACTGCCACATATGCTGTGTTTATATACAAGTGTGGACTCATACGATGGACAACATGTAAAGCTAGTGTTGGTATCAATAGTGGTGATGGGTATTACATCAATCATCCATTATCACATACTGATAATGTTACTGATATAGACTGCTATAATGAGATATCAGGATGGAGCAATGTTTTGTACAGACAAGATCAAGGTATCATTAATCAATATACCGGTAGTACTTTTATATGTGTATACACTGGCTTAATAAGGTTTCCATGACATCTCACAATACCGTATACCGGTTTATTTTCATGGTAAAATATTTTTGCAAATTTCGCGGTTTGGTGATCATTTGCGAAAATTTTTCACCACGAAATTCTACTCTCCATTGCCACGTGAATTTATTCCGCAAAATCTTAGAAATGCAAGATTCGCGAAAATTTTCCACTGCGAAAATAAACCGGTATACGGTATTACAGTATTTAGTATACCCAAGACAGCTTAACTGTTATTGATGAGTTGAGTTAATGATTAAATTGAACTAAGCCCCAGGGGCATATCTATTATCTAGACCTTTGGAAACGGTAGGGCAAGAAAAAGAAAATGGCACACAAAGTGCACTACAATATTGGCCATCCTCATTTTGCTATGCAAAATTGCAAAATGAAAGCATTTTTTAGCACATCAAGCATACACAGCTATAATAAACATTGTTTATGTAGGCTTCAACTCACTATGATACGTAGTAATTAATTAGCCACCCAGATCGTTATCAATAATGATAATTTTTTCAATGAATATAATTATAAATTTAATTTTTAGTACCGTATAGCTTGAAATTTTTGTGGAATATAAATTTCGTGGTTTTCGTGGTTATGGGCTGCCCACGAAATTTTAAACCCACGAAATCATTGAAGTGCCATCCCTTTACAGGCTATGTAAACTGTCAACCACAAAAATTAAACCACGAATTGCCCCACTAGGAGCAAACCACGAAAATATCGACCCATGAAAATTCCAAGCTATACGGTATATATCTATTAGGCCCTGCCCATGCCTAAATACAACTTATACACTATAAATTTGATTGCCTAAAAACCTTTGATGTGACTTTTTGATCAGGCCTTAGATGTGGTCACATCAGGCAACATGGAGCAACATATTGCAGAAAGTACCGTATAGCAGGTATATTTCATCTGGAAAAATGTTTGGTTTAAACTGGATTAGATACTTCATTCACTTTATTTTCATTCTTGCACATCCACGTGGCATTGCAGTCACACCTATTTTAATTTCATTCAAAAAATATTTGTTCCACAAGGAGTGGCAAGAACGAAAAGAACAGAAAAAACCCAGACAGAATATACCCACTATATGGTAGAAAGACTACTCAGTAACAAGTTGCCTGACCACATTCAAAGGTACTGGCAAGTTGCAATAAAGTTGCCCAGTGTATGCTGGGCTTAGAAAGCCTAGCAACTTTGTTATCTTATGCTTTGAAAATGAAACTTGCCAACAACAAAAAGATGCAACAATTTTAAAAGTATACAGTTATTACAATTTATAAATAATCTAACATTAGCTTTCTATCACAGTACTGCTATTAATATCAAACTAATTTACGTCTTTCCTCTCAGACATGAATGTGAGCAATAAGTCACATGATGTTCTAATCATTGGAATATGTTTTGGATTTTCAGTATTTTTAAATCTTGTTTTATTGCTAGCAGTGGTGATAGCACTCAGAAATAAATGTAAGTAAAATGAATTTCAGATACAAAACCATAAAATGGTTTTTTCCACAAAGGTAGAAAAAAGTCACAAAGCTCTTCATCTAATGATCCAAAAGAGGATGTTCATATCAAAACTGAAGTAAATGCAGCATATGAAGTGATGCAAAGGAGAAGCAATCAAACAGAAACAAGCAATGAAATACAAATATCTCAAAACTCTACCTATGCTGATGCTACTAATGTTGATGAGACCATATATGATGATATACCGCAAGAAATTCCACCTGAGCCAGACACACCTCATCTCTATGATGATGAATCAGCAGCTCAATATAAAATACCAAGCTCTAATGTCATTAGAACACTTGTTTGACCAATAAGACATGTGGCAACTTAATAGTTAAATGTTTATTAGTAGTTTAACATTATCAATATTGTGTCTTAGTTTGTAATACAAGTCCACAAGAGATACACATGTACACATATAATATCAAGATAAATCAAGTGCTATATTAATTATAAATTATACCCAATATTGATTCGAACACTGCAATGTGAGTATTGAGCAACAAAGTATACATGTACATGTACAAATGATACATTATTATATCTTATATCTGATGAGCGACGTGACGGCAATGTATCAGTTGATGATTTCTTAGACATTACAGGAGTGTCATGTAGTGAGGAGCGTTTTGATGCACTTAGAGCTAATTCGGAAGTTTTCACATCCTTCTCTTTCTCCTTCTCTTCTCCTCCTGCTTTTACTTCATTATCCGCCAAACCCAAACCAGTTTTAATTAACTAATTTAACTATTTATTACAACTATATAAATAGTAGTTGTATCATAACAGTGGTCTAGTGAAGGATGATGATGATAGCGTTTGTGATACTTATCTACCTTAATGGCCTCCTTGTTAGCTCTGAGGGCAACTACCTTCCCTTCCTATATCCTACTAACTATTCAATACTGAATGACCACCTGGATCATGCAACAAATGTGTTTCTGCCCTCACAAATAAGATTTGGATCATCATGCTATACTGATGCATGGGTTAGTTTAACTGTATACAATAGTGCAGTAGTTACTTCATTTTATAGATAAGTACTAATGGATTGATTAGCTTGGGAATTAGTTTTACTAATTATCGTCCAAATCTCTTTCCTATTGCTACTCCAGTCATATCTACTTCAACTGGTAGTAGTGTATCTGTTGAATGGATACTGTGGGCCTACTGGAAGGATGTATGCCCATTTCTTAATTGCAACAATATTCAGGTTAATATAAGTATCAATCACAGTACATAATTTGATATTTTAATTGTCCAATAGTCCAATAATTTCCAGGTTGTATTAGCTTTTCAAAGTACTGCCACGTATGCTGTGTTTATATACAAGTATGAACTCATACAATGGACAAGATATCGAGCAGTTATTGGTATTAATAGTGGTGATGGGTACTATATCAATCATCCATTATCTAATATTGATGGTGTTACTGATATAGATTGCTATGATGTAGTATCAGGATGGAGTAACTTTGTATACAGACTAGATCAAGGTATCATTAATCAATATAATTATCACTCATGTATAATTGTGATATAGCAATAGATAAGTTTGAATTCCTATCCATTACATCTCACGGTATTACAGTATCATGGGAACTGATGTGAATTAGAGCAAGAGTAGATAATGTAAATTATCTACTCTTGATTACAAGACGTGAGATAACTTAATAGTTAGATGTTTATGAGCAACTTAAAGGATTATAACATTGTGTCTTGGTTTGTAATACAAATACACAAGGTACGCGCACATATCAAGATAAATCAAGTGCAATAATAATTTGCAATGTGAGTATACTCAGCAAAAAGTATACATGTACATGTACAAGTAATACATACATGTACATGCATTATTATATCTTATACCTGATGAGCGACGTGACGGCAATGTATCGGTTGATGATTTCTTAGACATTACAGGAGTGTCATGTGAGGAGCGTTTTGATGTACTTAGAGCTAATTCAGGAGTTTTGACATCCTTCTCTTTCTCCTTCTCTTCTCCTCCTGTTTTTCCTTCATCATCCACACTGATTGCACTCAGTTTCTGCATTCCTTTCATTAACTGTTGTCTCTTGCTTTGATTGGAGCTTGATGACTCCAATATTTCAAGAGTTTCCTCCTCTGTCATTGTGATATCACTAAAGAGACAGAGAGGTACAAATAAATTATGATGTACGTGTAACTACAAACAGTACTTTGTTATCTGTAGTAGCTCTTCTTCAGTGAGTGTTGGTCTCTCTATGACGAATAATTAGTAATAAATAAATAAGCTATTATTATCATCATTAGTACCTGCAAATTTCAGTTTCCTCATTTCCTCAAGTCTCATTGGAGGACCTGTAAAATAAAAAATGGAAAAATATAAAAAGCAGTTCATTGTACATGCATTAATTAGCATACAGTCATCATCATCAGGTAGGAATCCCTCAGCTAGGTGTACCATCAACTGGTTAATGAAAGACTTCCATGCAAACCTGTGGTCATTGGTCAAGCCACACTGTGGTCCTAGTAGGTGGAAGGTATGGAGTAAAGCAGCTCTGAAAGCATGAGCGTAATTCTTCTGAACACCACGAGACACATGAGTTGAAGTCAGTGATGAAAGAAATTCTTGATATTGATCGGGTTCATCATTCAGAGAAGCTCCCTTCAGCAAACTCTCAAATACTAGATTGGAATGATGTATTAGTCTCTCACTTGGCTATTAAAATAAAAAAATACTACTTATAATTATTAATTTTTTATATGTCTTACAGTAGATAACAATGGTAATACTCCATCTTCGTCTGTGAGGGTAAATTTGGTGTTTGAATATACGGCAATGTGGTATCCATATGTACCAGTCATGTGCAGCTTTAGTGTATGTCTCCTAAAATAGAGAAAGAGTTGAAGCATGAAATATTCTCTAGTTGATATATATCAATGGCCCTTGATTTGAGCTGATTCTGAATTTCTGATCAACTAATAGCTGCATATATAGTATTTCATAATGTACATACATACATACCCTCTTGGAAGAGAAAGTGATTTAGCTTGAGTTGACTTGACTCTCATCTTTATCAAAGACTCTGTACAGCCTCCACAAAACTCCCTCCAATTATACTTCTCTATCTGTATTGAGCCAAGGACTACCTCCTCAGGGGGAATCTGTGACTGCTGCTGCTGTTTATTGGTCTCTTCTGCTGGCTGTGGAGCTAAAGGAGGCTTAAATCTGAGAAAGAGATACAGATAGATAAGAGAAAAATTAAGAGGATCAAGGAAGGAATTGAGATACAGAGTAAAGGAGAATTTTATAATAAATATCAATATAGCTAGGACTCATACCCTAGTGTTTGGAGTGGTATGGTTCCAATGAGATTGCCTCCTTCGTACCAGCAATTGATCGACGAAAAACTTATCAATAAATTAATTGGCTGACAACTGTCAACAACTATAATGATATGAATTTTAAGAAAAATAACAATGTACATTTGGGAGACTTAAATTTCATTAATTTTTTACGAGTAAAAGGATACAAATAATATCAAAAACAGGAACCTGTACGTATAAATATCAATAATAATTATAATAAAAGAAATCAAAATGTGTACTTTAGCTATTTGAGTGTTTGATACTCCCTTCTTAACACTACCAGCAGTTGGAGGAGGTACAACAGAATTGGCCGTTGTCAACTAAAATATTAATTAATAATTATGATTGTCATAATACACCTTTTCTTTACTGATAGTTCACTAGATGAATGACTGTGATCAAATGACTCTTGCTTCCTAAATAATCTCAATTCTCTATAAATAACAAAAAATTAAAAATATATATATATATGTGTATGTATGATTTACTTAAAAATAGATACATAGTCATCAAGATCAATCCACATCAGACCAATTGATGATGAGGACCTATACAAGTAGATAATAATAATTAAGAGTTGAAAAATACACCAGGTTCTATTAACCATGTTCTATCAATTAATACACTTACACATCGACGAATGGAGAGTACACTTCAAATGATCTGTGGTCGGTCTTAATTGGAGGAGGAGATGGAAGCCATGGCTCATGCAGCCTGTTCTTCAAACCAAGATAATAAGGAGCCTGAAGTATAATTAGAATAAAAATCAATAATAGAAATGCTAACACATACATACATGCATGTACATACAAGGAGCTGTTGAAGTGCAATATGTATGATGAGTATGTGATTAATAATTCACTTTTAGTGAGGGAAGTGGTGGTTCTTTTGGTGGCAGTTCTAACGGCTCATTTCTCCATTGTGTCATTAATATTGGGTGGGTTGGATCGATAAAAGACAAACCACACCTCTTTAATATCTCGGCTGAAGTAGTGGTAAAATTAACCAGCAAAATAGAATCTGAGAAAAAATTATCATCATCTTTATTATTATTATTATTATTATTTGTTATACCTCTATTGTCAATGGTAGTAGTTGTAGTGGTTTCTCCTCCTCCTTCCTCTTCATTTTTGGTTTCATTTTCAGTTGGTCTCTCCCATTTCGGTAATTTCAATGACCCAGTTATCAGTGACCACATATCATCCATACTCCTATGCATGTACAGTGTATACATGTACATAATAATATAATCATCATCCTATCCCTCACTCTATTGGAGATGATTCACATACCCAACCAGTTAACAATTCAACTACACTGCACTCATCAGGACACTCAGTATCAATACACCTATATCAACAACAACAACAACAACAATAGAAATAAAAACAACAACAACAATAGAAATAAAAACAACAATAAAATAAAAACAACAATACAAATAATAACAACAACAATAGAAATAATAATAACAACAATAGAAATAATAATAAAAATAATAGCAATGATATTTTTAGGAAAACTTACTCTAAGTTGATGACTTTCAATAATGCTTTGGTGATTAGTAGAGGCCAGAGTTCGCCAGGGACTGACGTTACTGGTAACAATAATGAGTCATTAGCATCAACGGGCATGCAATCGTCAACTGTTACTTTACGCCATAAGCCCTACATAGACAAGAAGAGATGAACAAAAGAATTAAAGAATGATATAATATACAGTTCAAGGTGACGAAAGTGTGCAGTATCAATGCACAGGGTATTTCATCAAAAATGGCCAAATTTGACTAGGAGGGAATTCTTTATTTTTATAATTTTTCCTGATACGTATACATGAACTTATGTTGTGTAGAAAATTTGAGCTGATTCCGATCAAAATTGAATTTTTTATGAATTTTTAAAGTTACTCAAAAATTGGACCAACGTCCCTGTACTATAGTACAGGGTCACAGGCCAAATTTTGCCAAAAATGACTAGGAGAGAATTTTCAATTTTTATAATTTTTTCTGATACATATACATGTTCTCTTGTTATGTATCAAGTTTGAGCTGATTCCGATCAAAATTTGATTTTTTATAAATTTTTAAAATATCTAACATATACATGTACATACATACACAATTACATTTACCATCATTATAATACACATACGCATACCATCCAATATAGTTTAATGCAGTATTTCCCTAGTGAGTTATACATTGGAGTGGGCGTCCCTTTAGGCCATGGACAAATGTGATGCCATGGCTGCCATGGAAGAGGCAAAGCATCAGGCTGCTCTTGTGCCAGTGATGGGAGCGATGACTTCAAGTATATCAATGAATTTAACTCGGATATTATATTGCACATGAGCTAAAGGAAATAACATTATGAAAATAACAGTATCTCATTCTTTTATTTCCCCCCTTACTTTGCTTGTCAGTAAGTGCTCATTGCAAGACACTAAATCAATGTTTTGCTGATTATCAGAAACAACAACAGGAGGTGTCTACCACAATAATAAAAATAATAATAACTATGCAATGATTTGTAATGCATAAATGTGCTATACAATAATAATAATCATGGCTGCACAGTTATAGTATTTCTTATACTGCAAAATTCAAACAAAATAGTCCTTCAAATAAATACAGCTGCAGTCTACCTGTTGGTAGTATTCACTCGGTCTTTTCCATCCGGTGAGTTTCCCAGAGAGAGATGGAGGGAGGTGGGGTTGTCCATCAGGATCTTCATACAGAGCAAATGAAGAGGCAGCTGCAGCTTTTGACTTATCTTTCCCTTTACCGCCAGGATCCTGAGATAAAGGGAGAGACTGAATAAGAGAGAATGGCCTAGGGGTAAAGTCATACAAATTTCTCAGCTGCTATTTCACTTTCTGTCCACTCAGGCCATATCAGGATCTTCTTCACTCCAGGCTCAGGCTCAACTCTTTAAAAATTTACAAAAATTATCAGACGTCGTCACAGCACTAGTCTTACTCTTTCTTATTGCTGTGTGCTTTACTAGCACTCCCTACAGATTTTCCAGGCATTATAATTCTCTCTGTTTTTCTCTCTTTTATCTTTTTTTCTCAGTTGCTAGGCAACTAGAAGATAGGCGTGGTTATGTGTAGGTGTGGTCCACCCACGTGTCATCACAATCATGGCCACAATCAGAGCCTGTGGAGTTATGAGTCGTTTTGGAGCCTCTTTAAGGACTTTAACAACACCTCAAACTCGATACAGAGACACCAAAAGGCCCATAGTCTCATTCAGAAGTCTTAGTTGGAGCACTGAGGGCGAGAATCGTACAAATGGCGAAGAAACCTTTGCTGAGATGATGGCCAAATCTCGATTGCTAACAAGTTGTGGCTCCTCTCCAGTGGGTCACAAAGTACTAGGGAAGATTATCGCTGTGGTGGATGATAACTTGTATATTGATTTTGGTGGGAAGTTTCATGGAGTCGTCCCTTGTCCTGAATTTGGATCAGAGATTTACGTTGTAGGTACTAAAGTTGAAGTAATTGTGAAAGACCTTGAGATGTCAGCACATTTTCTTGGAGCACCGCAAGACTCATCTCTCCTTGAGGCAAGGATTAAACTGGTTGGGCTGTTGAGAGAATTTAAAATGAACCTGATAAGTAATAGCAAGACTGGTAATGAGACATTTTATGAAGATGACGATGATGACTTGGATGCTAGTTTTTATGATGATGAGACTACTAGTATTTATGATGATAATGATGAGGATGATAATAGGTCGATAACTATTTTTCAATAGATATTATAGTAGTTAATTGAAATATTAATATTAACAGAAGATAATGATGAATCTAACGCTTTTTTTGCTATTAAAGTACTAATGATGAATCTAACCATTCTTTGCTTTTATAGTACTAGCAAAATGGATTATTCAAAAGTTTTGACTTGATTGAAGACTATTACTACCAAAAATTAAAAACAAAACAAATCAAAAAGCCTAATAACAACTCTCTAAAGGATGAAAAAAAATTAAAAAGCAGCAAAAATTATAAAACCAAAAAACCCAATAACGTTCTCATTTAAAAGTTCTCGAAATGATGAATGAAGGCAGGCCCCTCGTATCTATTAGTGGCAGCACAAGCCTCCTCAACTCCATTAGTCATTCCAGGAGGACCGCAAGAGAACACACCAATCTTTGGAAGGAGGTTGTGCTCCTCGGCAAGACTATCAAAGAAGGTACCAAAGTCTGGACGGCCGAAATGAGTGATGGCTCTCATTCCAGTAAAGAGGGAGCGACCAGAGAGACGCTGGAAGTGCCTCTCAGCGACATAGAGCATGGACGTACGGAGATCAAACTTGTCAAAGAACTGGGTAACAAATACGTGAACTTCAACAAGACGCTTCGTGTCAGCCTCTTCCACCTCCTTGATGATATCAGCCATCCACTCAAACTGGTGCTGCGTGCGAGTGACCCAGATAAAGTAGACTTTCTTGCACTGGATGCGTGCTCCTATGTTGAAACGATGGACGAGTTCTTTAAGAATGGATGCAAATGGAGTTACACCGATTCCTCCACCCACAAGGACAGCAGCTTCGAACCTGTACCAGTCCTGATGTCCCTCTCCGAAAGGTCCGTCAACAAAGAGCTTGGGGAGAGGATCACCAGCACTCTTCTTCTGGGAGCATATCTCACGGAAGTTGTGAGTCCATGGGCCGACAGCACGGATATGGAGACTGAGATTCTCCTCATTAGGGGCGGAGCTGAGAGTGAATGGATGGTACTCGCCAGGATTCTGTGCAAGACTAGCAATACGGACCCACTGACCAGCGACATAGTCGAAACTTGGCGGGCGCTTGAAATAAATACCAATGACTTGAGACGGGAGGATATCAGCACGGACGATGCTAACCTCTGCCTTGCTGCGTCCTAAACTGACGAGGCGATCGATAACGTAGACAATACCAGGTCCAAGGAAGAAATTACCAAACAATGGATCCTGTACTAGACGACCAGACCCGTGGAGGAACATGAGAATGTAGAACACGATGTAGAGATGATGGGTGAGCCAGAAAGACTGGAAGGCATAGCGACGAGCATATTGTACGGCAAATACAAAAATAATGACAGTTATCAGAGTCAGTACGAAAGCGGAGAAGCCAGTCATGGTAAGGAAGAGCCAGTAGGAGAACTTTGGTAGGAAGTGGCTCCTGAAGTAGACCTCTCTGAAGAGACAAGTCAAATCGCTGGGAGTCTGAGTGGCAATGTGATAGAAATTGATACCGTGACCAATGCAATGCATTACAGTTGTGAACAGAGCGGTCATGGCTACTACTTTGTGGAAGCTGATGTGTGAATCAAATGGAATGTAATAGTTGAATATTGTCTCGCGAAGGTACGTGAATAGATTACGAGCCATAGTGATGAGGAGTACCGAGTATGTCCACATCATGCAAGAGGCGGCTCCACGAGTAACAGTAACACCATATCCAGCGATACGGCGGAGACCTCCAAACTCACGCTCGACTGAATAGTAGTAGGCTCTCTCTACAAAAATGGCTGCAGTTATAAGGAAGAACATTGAGAGGTAGAAGATGTGTAGTTTGTAGTTCTCGACCCATCTCAAGAAAGCAGCAAAACGACGACCGACAGGAGTTGAAGTAAATTTGGATTTCTTTTTGATCTGGAGGGTAACTTGGCTCTCCTCCAGCTGTTGCTGTGCTCGTGGGTCTTGCTTTGTAGTACGTCCATAGGCCTTGATGATGGTACGACGGGCACGAGCTGTAGCGTTCTCTCTTGCCTTGTATCGTGATGGAACTGCACCACTTTCCTCCTCCTCTTTACTGGCTGGAGCCTCAATCTCTGGGGCCTCGATACCCTGGACACTGATCTTTGCATTGCTCAGCTCCTCTTTGTGATCACGCATCAATACCTTGAAATCATCAACAGTCAGGTGTTGCTTATTTTCAAAACCAGCAGCAGTGAACATGGAGTCCACAAGCGAGTTCATCTGATCTCCAGTGACCGAGGCGTTCACCAGTTCCATCATACTCTTCAACATTTTCTTAAACTCATCTCGGTCCAGTTGGCCCTCTCCGCTGAGGTCGTACATGCGAAACATCAGCTCCAGTTTCTCGTCGGGCGATCCTTTAGAGAATATGACGGTCATGTCGGCGAACTCTCTGAAAGAGATGAAACCGTTTTGGTCAGCGTCACACAGAGCAAACATCTGCTCGACAAAGAGAGAGTCCTTGCTGGTAGACATGGCATCGGCAAACTCGTCTTTAGTTAGCTCACACTCGAGTATATCAGTGCGGGTCTCAACATTTTGTTTAGAACCAACTTCGGCAAAAACAGACTTGAAAAAGTTCTCGAGTAGTTGCTGGCGTTGTTTCTTTGTGAAAATGTTGCGGAGCATTACGCGTTTCATTCCTCTCTCTTCCTCGACCTCAATCTGTAAGCCCTCAAGGAATTCCTTCAGCTTATTAATGATGGCGTTACGATCATGTACCGTCTTGCAGCGTATGAGTATATCGTACTCATTCTTGATCTTAACAGCAAAGTACAGCTCACTGTCAACTGGTAAGAGTATATTGATTGAGGTCTGGTTTCTAAGGTCCACTGTACGTAAGAGCTCTTCCCCATAGAAAAGCTTAAGCTGTTTCTCGGGACCGAGTTTGAAACTCACATAACGAGTGACTCCTTGTAGCCCTGCCTTCTCTTCATAAGCGACGATGACCTCTCCATCATTATCGGTGAGGTCGGTACCTTCAATCTTCTTTGTTCGGCTCTTGCGGCCGCTGGAGAGGATCTTGGCACGTCGCCTCTTGTTCAGTTCAGCTATGAGCAACATGAGACCAATGATGATGAATATGTAGATGAAGACGAGGGCCCATATGAAAGGTACCTGCCAGACGCTTGAGTCATAGTAATCAAAGTTCTCTAGAGGACGGCAGTCGTCCATGAATAACTCTGAGAGTTGGAAAGGCTGTGGACAGTATTGGTTGTTGGTTGTGACTTGGAACGGATTGTCCTGTATATTATCAGCATTTATACTGTTGGTGATTGCTATGAGGATGGACTTCATGTCAACGCTCTCTATCATGTTGATTTCTTCCTCAGTGAAAAGACTAGAGGGAGAAGAGATATAATAACACTCGGTTGTATTTTTAACTAACGACTCACTGGTTGTTCTTGTAGTTTTCATACCAGAACCTATCAGCGTGTCTAATGCGCATGAACTGATCAAAGAGGACTTCAGTAAACAAAGTACCAGGACCATTATCCTCAGTAGTCTCTGCTAGACCGCAGGCCCATATGTCACACCTACAAACACAAAGTAATAAATATATGTAGCATATAAATAATTATAATTTTTTGTTTTTATTTCAAAAAACATATATTTGATGAAGGACTCACTTTGATATATCATTATTGTATACATCCCTCAGTCTCTCGATGTTGTCAGTAATATCTGGGTTATTACCATACTCAGAGTTAAGGTCCTCGAAACTCGTGAGTGGCTGGAGACCGTACGCAATACGAGCCGAGTTATAATCGGAGAGACCGTGGTCACGCCCTCTCTGGAGATTCTGAGCCATGAGGTCACGACGGGTGTGGTCCAGAGCTCCAAAGACAAAACCACGGAGATCAGGAGTAATGATGAAGTCCTCTCTCTCGGCGTGCTGAGATGCCATACCGAGATAGAATGAGTCTACATTCGTCTGCATGATGGTCACTGTTGGATTCCAGAACTGGTTACAAGTACGAGGAGCAAAATAGCTCTCATGTAAATTCCCAACTCGATAAGAACCAGCGGATGGATCGTCCCTATTGATGCCCGGGTTGATGGTATTGCACAGAGTGTCATTAAGATCAGTGTTGTTGTATGGATTGTTGGAATTACAGAGTCTCGTAATTAGGGAGGTCATTGTGTCGAATTGTACATTCTCATTATTAGTAACATATCTCAAGTAGGCATTGGAGAACCTGGCAAAGTCAGGAGAAAGAGTAGGACCAAATTCACATGTTCTATTAGAAAAAAAGATAAAGAGTGAACGCATTATGACACAATTAAAAAAGAGAAGTTAGAGAAAGAAGGCCAAAAAATAACAAAAGAGGAATAACTTACTGATTACCACCTCCTAATCTCCTCCATATACCAGGAGTAACCATAGTGTGTCCAAACCTCATAGCAGCCGACTGGAAGATGTGAGCAACCTGTGGATTAATACCGGGATTGTATCCACTGACACCGGGATAGAGGGTGTAACCAGGGGTATTGTTGTATGGGAAGGCATTGGGATTACCATTGTATTTGCTAGGGAGGAAGAGTGGCATCCACTCCTTGTAGACTACCTTCTGGTGGGTAGCGATTGTGAACTGCCTTGCCCTGTTGAATAGCCATTCGTCATTCTCCCATTCTTCATGGGAGAGATTGTATCTCATTCGATTCTGAATGTAGAAAACCCTAAGTCTCCTCGCCCACCAGTTGTGTACACGGAACCAGAGGACACCCATTGTCAGAAGGAAGGGGTTTTCATTACCACGTGGGTTACCAATAGCTATAAAAAGAGAAAAAAAATAAGGCATTCTCCCTAAATATAGACTCATAGAGTAAAATTAATAATACCAAAAATGATAGAGGAGATTGCATTAAGGGCTGCACACATAAGGTCAAAAATGCTAATCAATAATCAATTATGACAACAGTCAACACTTACAAATTATATAAAATTAAAAATTATATAAAACTTACTCCAAAACCTATTGACAGGAAATAAAGAGAAGTTTGCTGGAGGTGGTGGATTAGCATAAGGCAGACCCAGTTCGTCGTTGCTCTGTGGGAACTGATCAGCAATATTGGCTTGATTATCATTAGCAGCGAGTTCTCCTCCCTGGAAACTACGAATGGCATCAGTCCATGCCTTGAATGGACCATACATAAGGCCGCCATCAAACCACGGGGTGATCTCGTTCAACTGCATACGAGGGTTGTTGGGGTTGTACCCGGTCTGAAAGTCGTAGCGGTTACGAAGGAAGGGAATGACTCGGTCTCCACGACAGTCCCGATCGTAAAGAGCATGGCATTTTGGTACTTCAATGAACTCGTATTCTGGAATGCATCCCTGCCTTTGTGCATCTAGTACCTCTTCTACAACTTGCTGGCCTAATTATGAAAAATTTTAATAATTAAAATTATTTTAATGATGCTATGCATGGAATGCAAAAAAATTAATTTACCAAAATAGATGAAAAACCCGGTCCTTGTGGTAGACAGGTGCCCAGTGAGCCCGTTCTGGGTGAGGTTGGCTATTATGAGCACGTTGGGTCTGTCTCTACCAGCGAACTCGTACACACCGTCGGGATAAGCTATCGGAGTTCTCCTTTCCATTGGCATATCAGCTCCGCCCCATTCAGGGTGAGCGGCATTGTTGTACCAACCATCATAACTCTGATATTCATAATCTGTAGGTTGAAGTTTAACAAATTAGCAAAAAGTAATACTCAATTAGCAATTATTTTAATATGTTACTTACGTCCATCTGGTTCAAAACCGCTGTTGTTCAGTCCAAGATCTCGTAGCTTCATTTGTACAGCAGGGTCGTTAGGGTTAGAAGCTGCAGAGAGAACGACAAGCGTTCCTAGCAGCAAAAGGAGCTTCATTTTTATGACAAAACTCCGGCTCTCCTTTCTCCTTCTGAAGCAGCAAGGGTCACCTACAATAATGGAAGAGAGAAAAAATGGAGTGGAGCTTTGCTGGCGTGTAGGAGCTTTTATATCAAACTATACTAAGGAAGTGCAGTGCTGGACAGAGGAACTGTAACGGTTGCTCAGGGCTCGGGCTCAATTTTGATGCAGGAATCACTTCCCTTGAGCATAGAAACAAACATAACTTTGACACAGAGATAACACCGAGTTAATCCAACGGCCCTAGCAGGAACTAACGGAACTGCATGAGTAAGTAGATAAACTGAGCAGCCCTGATAACAGAAAGTTATTTTTAGATATTCTGCATTCTATCCGTCTCCCTCTCTCTAGGGTTCTAAAGAAAGATGGGCAATTCTTTTCGTAACCAGCCACTGCCAACTCTCTACGGAGAGAACAAGACTCCCGTAACAGAGGATATCCTGGAGGTCGGTCTTCTGGTCGCCTTTGGCATGATTGCATTCTCCTTCATTCTCATAATACCAGGAATAAGAGGATGGGAGGTAAATAATAAAGAATATAAAGAGAGAGAGAGTCTTTTGCTATTGGGTGGAGCTTACTAATAGTCTTGGCAGTTTGTTAGCAAGGCTAAAGTGTGAACGAGCATCAACAAGTTATTTTTTAAAATTAATTAATATATTTTTGTAGCGTTTATTTGCAACGATTCGTGTTTTTGTGACGTTATTTATTGGAGCGGTGATATTGGTCAGTAACTTTGGCTATGGATGGTATACCGATACAGTCCGTGTCCAAACACAATACAAGGCATTCACCACCGAGGAAATAGTTGCTGATGTGGGACTGCACATTGGACTAAGGGGCATCAACATCACTCTTAAAGGTAACGCTATTAGTCAAGCTTATAGTATTATGCATTGTCTTAGTATAATATCATTATTTAGTATGATAAAAATGTTTGAAATTCCAGCCAAGAACAATGTAACACTAAATATTATTGCAGAAAAATTTTTTTGAAAATATTAGCATATAAACCACACTGCTTGTTACTTCATAATATTTTTAAAAAATTCCTCTCTAAGTCTTATTATGTATGTTCCTCTCCATTGCAGGACAGCCACTTGATCCTAATGGAGCTCTTGCTGGGGAGACCATTGACTACAACGAGAGGTTCTGGTGGGCCGATCCGTGGTTCCAGGGTCGTATCGGTTTCGGTCGCTATGCCGGTCGAATCAATCAGGAATTCCGTGCTGCTCAGTACCGGGGTATGCCTTATCCTATCCTGTGGGTTGCTGAATACTTCACTTTGGACGGGGAGCAGATTCGTTGGGCTAGGAAGTTCCGTCAGGCTGGCTGGTATGCTCATCAATATCTCTGGTAAGTAAAATAGTTATAATAAAAAATACAAATGTGGAATGAGATATATTATTAATTTATTATAAATTTAAATACATGTAGATATTGAGGAATAAAAATAAATTATATTGTTATAGACTCACTCATTCCTTTCTCTAGGCTTGCCTTTGCTATATATCTATTAACAATCCTTACATATCTGTGGAACATACGTTATGGCATTCATCTCACAATGCTGCTCGGTATCATAATGATAATGGCTTGTGGTGCCTATGGTCTCGTCATACTCAATAAACCGCACATACGACTGCCGTGGAACCAAGCAAATTGTGAGCCCAACCCAAGCGCTGGTGAATGGTGCGCTCAAGCCATGGTACCTCATTTCGGCTGGTCCTGGGGACTCGTACTTGCTACTGGCATTCTGGTGTTCATTATGGGCGTGATCCTATTTATTGTTGATTTCTTTGTTCCTCGCTGGACTGCACCTCTCTTCCATCATAATATTGTTGAAGCGGATGAAGAGTTCTTGACTGTAAGTTTTTGATTCAAATCTTTGAGCTGTACTGAGAATTCACTTTACAGTTTATGATATTGTGATTTGCACATTATTGCATTTTTGGTCTAGCAAAAAGTGTTCATCCTTAAAACAATTTTTAGTTTCAATATTATTACTACTAAAATTATTATTTTATTATTTGTAGGAGGAAACTGAAACCGTAGAAGAGTCTGTTGGTTATCGTGATGGACGGGGTAGAACCAGAAGAGGTGGTCGTACAACTCGCGATCGTGCCCTCAACAAGTAAGCAAAAAGAGCAAACCCTGTCCCACAATGCAATTGATAATCACCGCTCCTTTAATGAAACTGTTTATTAGTTTACAGGCAATCATATTGATTTAGCTTAGTTTAAACCCAATTATTAGCTGCCAATTAAGTAGTTGTATTTATGTACAATAAGATTTTAATAACTTTTATTTTTCTTTATTTTTAGATATCGTCAGACCCAAAGGCGTCCTCGTACAACCGAGCGTGGTGGGCGTGGCTCCCAGCGCCTCAAAAATGACATCCCATTGGAGGAGATTGCAGTCGTTGAGAAGAGTCTTGACGCTTAAACACTCTCCCCGGAATGAATATATTGGACATTTTAATTTTCAAGGCCATTTTTTGATTTAAGTTTTTATCTTAGTTTATTTTTGTAGTGTTGTCTTAGGAAGTTTTTTATCATCAGTAGTAGTCCTGTAGTTTTCCCACGCATTGTCAAAAAAATGTATTAGCACTCAAAGTAATTATGCAAAAAGTGAAAAAATAAGAAATTGTATTGTAAGAAGAAAGAAAATAAGAGTTATAATTGTATCTACTTAAATTAGTATCAGTACAAAAGTTGCAAAGTGGGGGGAGGGTATGGGGGGGGCTGAGTTAAACAGGTGCCTGTAGTAGAAAACTGATTACAAACCAAAAGAAAAGAATTTCAAAGGAGAGAAAAAAAGAGAGAGGTGTGAAAATCATTTGGTCTCCATAAAGTGCTGCTTTATTATTTTAAAACGATTTTCAGAGGATTTGAGGAAATGGTAGTCCCTGTGAGAGCAATAAGGACACTCGTATAAAGAGGAGAGAGAAGTGAACGAGAGAGTGACCTTACCAAAATCCAGCATTGGCTTTGAGCATTTTTTACACAGCACGCAACTGGGGCAGCAAAGAGTAGACGAGAATAAATCGTACGTGTACAGCGTTCCTATCTGGTGACTGGAGCCGTCCCATTGCTTACTGCAAGACAAGCATTTAATCGAATTTAAACCAACCATGCACGCCAAACAGACAGCAGACATGAAGACTGGGTCGTCACCTTTGCCTTCCACCTCCAGAGAGGAAGAGTAGAGCTGGATAGGAGAGAGAAACAGGGTCCCGTTGAGTAAAGGATATCTATCATAGACGCAAAGCGAGTCATTGCATAGGACGCAGGTGACAGTGTTGGTACGATGGAAGGCAAGGCTACTGAGAACAAAGGACCTCGTCTCATCTCCAGCAGCATAGCCATCATCCTCCATCTTTATGTGGTACCCATTGATGAGGTGGCGAGGAAGGAAGCGGTCGAAAACGGAATAATCGGTACGGTGGGCAAACGGCTGCATGTAATTGGTGAGTCCGTTGTCGCTGGATATGGAGTCAGAGTTACGCTGGCTCCGACTACGAGCTCTGGTCTGTGCTGGGGGATTGTGTGATGCTGAGGGAGGAGCTGGGACGTGAGATTGAGCTGATGAAGACGATGGACGATCGGACGAAAGACTAGAAGATTTTTTACGCTTCTTTTTTGATTTATCAGTCGCTATTGAAACCGACGAGGAGGACACAGACGTGGGTAGGGCAGGCACAGGGAGGGGATCAGGGAGGGTGTGGTTTAGGTCCTTTCGGAGGTTCCCCTTCCCACACTGACAAGCACAGAACTTGAAAACTAAATCGTAGCCTTTCTTTGTCCAGAGGTTTTGCTTCCTTTGCTTTTCGGACCAATTCCTAGCTCGACTCATTCCCCTTAAGCAACTTAAAATCTGCTCCTCAAAGGAGTCAAAGCATTCAGAGTGCATGTATGGGGAAAATGGACACTTTTCATTAGAACACATCATCCGTACGACTTCCTGCTGGGTGGGCGTGGCTGATCCTGTTTCTATGGGTCCGAGGATGCACCCACGAGGATTACAACACATCAGGACGGAGGAGTCTAGATGCATAGAAGCAAGATAAGGAGTGGCCCCACCCTCACTGAATAAATCACGATGTTCCTCTTCTGGGAGGGAACGAGGGTTTATGGCCACGCCCAGCCCGAGGGGAGAAGGGAGACTGTTTTGGAGGCCAGAGTCGGAGGAGGTGGAGCCTGTTCGCTTCCGAGAACGAGTCGTTGGCATGGAAATGGGAATTTAAAGCGGACTGAAATCGAAAGTCAAATTATATCAATATTATTAGATAAGGAGCTCAGACAACATTCAAACAAACCAGTAGAATCCTCTTTACAAGGAGCTGGAGAGTGGCAGCAATTGAAAAGTGAAAATATCAGTGAAAAGTGAGAAGTGGTGTCTTTGGGAAAGGGAGGGGCAAGATGAGGATTTTTAATAAAATTGAGGGGGCGGAAGACAATAGCTGCTAGAGTTATATTTGCTGCTGCAGGAGAAGAGGAATGAGATGGGCTGAGAGAGAAACGGAAGTTGCTATCGATGGCAGAGAGACTATTCCCGCTTCTCTCAGGATACAAGTCTTTCTGTCTCCATTTTGAACTCCTAAAAGTGTCAAGGAGATATCCGGCGGATTCCCTCCGGGTATTTCAGGATATTGGATACAATCCCCGTCTGAAAACCACGTGGAGGAGGAGAGAGAGAAAATGGCTTTACACGTACCCATGTCAGGACTTTCCAGTATGCTCAAGGATGGAGCACAAGTGAGGAAGAGAGAGGGAGAGGATTTAGAGTGTAAAAATAATGTTAATTTTCAAAGCCATAAGTTAATTAAGTTTTTAATTAGTTGGGTTTGACTGGAATAATGATTATATATTTAACTGATAAATACTTTTATACTAGCCTACGGTGATGAGGGGAAATGCATGTTCATTACGATTGCAAAATTTTCTACTGATAGTTAATTATCAAAGTTGCTCCGAATAGTGGATATAGATATAGAATAGTTGCTCTGTAGTACCAGGGTATTTTGTCAAAATGGCTCCAAGAGAATTTTCCTTTTTTATAATTTTTTTCTGATAGATATACATGTTTCAATGCTGCATAGCAATTTTGAGCTGATTCCCATCAAAATTGGATTTTTTTACAAATTTTTAAAGTTGCTCAAAAATTGGGTAAAAATCCCTGTACTATAGTACAGGGACTTTGGCCAAAATTTGCCAAAAATGGCTAGGAGAGAATTTTCAATTTTTATAATTTTTTCTGATGCACACACATGTACTTATGTTGTATATCAAGTTTGAGCGGATTCTGATGAAATTTGGATTTTTTACAATTTTTTTAAGTTGCTCAAAAATCAGGCCAAATTTCCTGTACTATACATAGTACAGGGTATTTCATTTAAAATGGCTAGGAGAGAATTCTCCATTGATGCAATGGCAGTTAATATATTTCACCCTCATCATAATCGCTCTAGTGATAATTGGATTTGATTAAATCACACATTTCCTTTGGGAATAATAATAATGATAAATTCCTTCTCTTGTATTACTACTTTTTCTCTTCCTCTTTTCCTCCTCCTCTTTTTTGTCCTTTACCTCTAGCATTATAGCGGAATACATGAAGCTGTCCTAAGGAATATTGATGCTTGTAAGCAAATCTCTAAAATAACTCGTTCTTCTTACGGCCCCTGTGGTAAGCAACACACCCACACACTCACTGTAACGTGATTGAGTCTCCTCCCTATCTCTAGGTATGAATAAAATGGTCATTAATCATTTGGAAAAACTCTTTGTGACAAACGATGCAGCAACAGTCATCAAAGAACTTGAGGTATGTGATATGGATTTGTTAAATGAAAGATTTTTTAATGTTTTATAATTCAGGTTGAACATCCAGCTGCCAAGATGCTAGTCATGGCAATGCAAATGCAGGATCAAGAGGTATGTTATGGTGGGTGTGGTGACTCCTCCCATTATCCTCTATTAGATTGGCGATGGTACTAATTTCGTGTTGCTGTTCAGTGGAGCATTGCTTGAGTTGGGTGAGGATCTGATAAGGATGGGGCTCTCCCCTAGTGAAGTAATTGAAGGCTATAATGTAGCAATGAGAAAAGTATTGGACCTTTTACCAAGTGAGTCCTCAATAATTATAACAATACACCATGTCCCAAATCAGTTTGGACATAGTATACTTGAATTTTGATCTGTAAAGAAAAAGATTCATTTGTTGTTCTGTCCACTGATAGATTTGGTGTGTGATACAATTAAAGATCTAACGGATACAAAAGGGAATGTACTGAAAGCATTGAGCACTGCAGTGGGTAATATGCAGTACGGGAACAGCACATTCTTTGCTGAACTAGTTGCCAAGGCTTGTTGTAAGATACTTAGTTTTTTCAGTTCTTATTTTACTTCTCCTTCTCCTCCTCTTTTTTTTCAGCTCTGGTCCTGCCAGAAAATCCTGTTAATTTTAATGTTGATAACGTTCGAATTGCTAAAATTTTGGTAAGTATCTTTATTATTGGTTCCTGTCACTATTCCATTTTGCCCCTAGGGGTCTGGTGTACTCAATTCTTCCGTTGTGAATGGGCTCGTCTTTAAACGCCTAGTTGAAGGTATTAATATTATTTATTACTTGCAATTGTGATTAATTAATTTTAATCAGGCGATGTTACTAAGGCAACAAATGCAAAAATAGCTGTTTATTCGTGTCCGTTTGATGCCAGCAATACAGAAACAAAAGGGACAGTTCTAATTAATACTGCTGAAGAGTTGAAGACATTCAGTAAAGGAGAAGAAGCACTCATTGAATCAGTAAGAGAGAGAGAGGATGGAAAATTTAAAATGTTGCGTTGTTCTTCTACAGCAAGTGAAAGCAGTTGCTGATACTGGTTGCAGTGTTGTTGTCACTGGTGGCAAGGTTGGTGAGATGGCACTTCACTTCTTAAACAAATATAAAATAATGACAGTCAGGTATAGAGCAGTAAATAATAGTCTTGAAAAGCTAATGAATTTTATTTTTATTTAGATTATTATCAAAGTTTGATGTTAGAAGAGTCTGTAGAGCAACAGGAGCTACTGCTTTACCTAAATTAGTAAGATTACTGACTTTTACTGAAGAGTGTTCTCTGCTTTTTTAATTTAATATTGCACGTCTGTAGGTTCCTCCAACTGCCGATGAGTGTGGTCACTGTGACTATGTATCAGTGGAAGAGATTGGAGACACTAATGTTGTTATATTTAGACAAGGTAAATGTATATAGCTACATGTAAGTGAGCTAAACAGTTTGGAGCAACTTTTAAAATTCATAAAAAGATCTGATTTTGATTGGAATCAGCTCAAAATTGACACACAACATAAGTACATGCATATGTATCAGAAAAAAATTATAAAAATAAAGAATTCTTTCCTTGTGATTTTTATCGAAATATCCAATTTTTACCAACTTGTCAATAGAAGCTGCATGAGTACTTACTACGCCAAAATCCTGTTGGAAACCCTGTGTACAGATTTATAAAAATTACTGTACAACTTGTGATTTTTAGATAAGATTGAGAGTCGAGTAGCCACTATAGTTATTCGTGGGTCCACCGAAGGACTAATGGACGACGTTGAGAGGTTAATGGAAGACGGAGTGAACACTTTCAAGGCTCTGACAAGAGACGGACGACTTCTGCCCGGAGGAGGAGCAACAGAGATAGAACTGGCCAATACTTTAATGAAATATGGAGAGGTCAATAATTAATAGCTGTACTATTATTATTATTTTATTTTCTCTCTTTATTATTATTCTAGACTTGTCCCGGAATGGAGCAATATGCCATACAGAAATTTGCAGAGGCTTTTGAAGTCATTCCACGTGCACTGGCTGAGAATTCTGGCTTCAAAGTATTGTCAATACATTCTATTACGCATTCCTACTTCTCTCTCTCTCTCTCTCTCTCTCTCTCTCTCTCTTTTGCTTTCTCTCTCTCTCTCTCTCAGCCAAATGAAATAGTATCCAAATTATATGCTGCTCATCAAAAAGGGGATAAGACATTTGGTGTGGATGTTGAGAGTGATGATCCTAACATTAAAGATGTCTGCTCCTCTGGAGGTAGTCCTGTGTATGACTTGTTCTCAACGCGTTACTGGGGAATCAAGCTAGCAGCCACCACTGCATGCACTGTACTAAGAGTTGACCAGGTAAATGGAATATCATTATTATTATTATTATTATTATTATTATTATTATTATTATTATTAATATTATTGTTTAGATTATAATGGCAAAGAGGGCTGGCGGGCCTAAACAGAGAGAAAACAAGAACTGGGACGATGATGATTGAGTGGTTAATGATGATACGAGTAATTATAGTGTAGCTTTTTGATTTTGAATATAAAAACTATCAGTACAACCAAGACTATAATGACTGTTATTAGTAGTTTATTAAGTTATTATTGTTATTCATTGAGACTACTCGGATGCCATCCAGAATTTGGAGCTGTAATTTGATTGGCCAAACTACCAAGTGATCCCTCTCAGTGATCGCCTTGAAGAAGGTAAAGCAGCTGAAGAGACTGTTTACCAAGCCAGTTCTGTGAAGACACTTCAAGACAGCATCTCAGTTTTAGTTTCAACCCTTTCTTGAGTTTCTTCGCCTCGTTATATCTTTTCAATCCTCGACTAGTTATGTCTGGACGTGCTAAGGGAGGAAAATCTCGTGTCAAAGGCAAGAGCCGAAGCTCTCGTGCTGGTTTACAATTTCCAGTGAGTCGAGTCTTTCGTTTCCTCAAGAAAGGCCGTTATGCTAACAGAATAGGATCTGGTGCTCCCGTCTACCTTGCAGCTGTAATGGAGTACCTGACTGCTGAGATACTCGAGTTGGCTGGTAACGCCGCCAGAGACAACAAGAAGCAAAGGATTAACCCACGACACCTTCAACTGGCCATTAGGAACGACGAGGAATTGAACAGGCTGTTATCTGGAGTCACTATTGCTCAAGGAGGCGTTTTGCCTAACATACATGCTGTTCTCTTGCCAAAGAAATCCGGAAGGACAGGTGCTGGATCCCAGAGCCAAGAATTCTAACTATTAACATAACCCATTCTCTACATAAATCACTGTGTGTTCTATTATATTGTATCACTTATTTATCACCCTGTCACTTGTTCTTATTGTTGTGTTTAAAATATAAAGTCAAAGTGTCTGTGCTCAAATTTTAGTAAACAAATTGACCACGTGCGTTCACATGTGGGTGTGCTCATGTGACAAAAATTACTATAGTCTAACCGCACTGAAGAAGAGGCGCAGACAACAATGGCCACAGACTCGGCCACAGAAGATGGCGAATTCAAGTTTAGACAAGTAACCATCCTCAAGGAGACCCTGGGCAATGGAGCATATGGTGTTGTCTATAAAGCAAAATGTGACGAGTTGATATGTGCTGCCAAGTACATGCACCCAATCTTCTTTGCACTGTCTGAAGACCCTGCAGTTAATGTGGTGGCCACAGATAAGTTTAAGAAAGAGTGTCAACTCTTGAGCCGTCTCAAGCATCCAAACATTGTTCAGTACCTGGGCACCCATGAAGTAAACGGCATAGATACAGTGGTTCTATTAATGGAGCTAATGGATTCTAGCCTTCATGCATATTTACATGCACACGTTGATTCTCCATTGCCTTTCCACCAAGAGATAAATATTTCTCTTGACGTTGCCCGAGCGCTTGACTATCTTCACGTCAACAATATTCATCATCGTGACCTCTCAGCCAAGAACATCCTCATGCTTGGAGACTATAGAGCTAAAGTCTCCGATTTTGGTCAATCCAAGCTACGTAATCCAAATGGTGGATTCTCTAGCAATTCCCCTTGCCCTGGTAACATTCTTTACATGCCTCCAGAGACTTTAAAAGTACCTCCCGATTTCGCCCCCACGCTTGACGAATTTTCATTTGGCATTGTTACCATTCAAATCATGAGCCGGAAAGACCCTAAGCCATCAGACCTACACCGAACAGGGTCTTTGATTGGTACTTTAGTGGAGGTACCTGAGATCGAGAGGCGAAGGGATGATATTGACTCTTGTGATCCTAGCAACCCAATCCTTGGCTTATCAATCTCATGCATCAGTAACGACCCACAAGAGAGACCACCCATTGAGAGGATGTGCCAGTTGCTGTCTCTGCTAAAGAACACCTCTCAGTATAAGAAAAGTGCAATGGGACTTAGCAGCAGCAGTGATGAGGGGAAGGAGAATGTGCACCCGTTTGAAGATTATGGCGAAGTTTTGATTGTTGAATTGAATGAAAATGACACCCACTACTCATCAAAGATTGATGATTTGACACGCACCATCAAAGACAAGGAGAATCTCTTGAAAGACCAATCAAACATACTCGAGCTTCGTAACAAGCAGCTCCTCCAGAAGAGTAATATTATTGACAAGTATAAGCTTCAGTTGGAAGAGAAAGAGAGCGAGGATGCCGAAGCAGACAAGAAAAAGAGTCAACTGGAAATCTATAACTTGGAGCTGGAGACAAAAGTATCGGAACTGAAGGACCAGCTTAACCGTAAGGAATCAGAAGTAATCGAGAAAGAGAAGCAATTGATGGAGAAGGAGGAGCAGCTACGAAGGAAGGAAGAAGCCATTGTTGCACAGCAAGTAAGCAGTGATGAGCGATACAGTATTTGTGTGAGTGAGTTGGAGCAGCTTCGTGCCGAATTGGATCACCTTCAAGCGGAGCAGGCAGCAAAAACCCCAGACTCTCCTTTCTCACTGGAGCCTCCTTTTCTCTCCCAGCCCGTACCTTTTGAAGACAACAAGCAACCAAGAATACCCAAAAAGCCAAAGCAACTGGACCTGAAGTGGCAGACTAGGAAGCAAAGCCCGGTAGCATTCCAACCACAGAGCAGTATGGCCGTCGCCTGCATGGACAAGATTTATATCACATATTGTAACTACAGCAGGAGCGAAGGAAAGATATATGAGTATAGCTTGAGCACTGACACATGGACCCAACTACCATTACTGAGGAAGAGTGAGTTCTCCCTTGCCGTTGTTAACAATGATTATATTGTTGCTGTGGGTGGGAGTGCTGCTCTTCGCAAGTCTGGGAGTATTTTGAAGTACTTGAGTGCCAGTTCAAAGTGGGTGAAGGAGTTCCCTGATATGCCTACCCCTCGTTCCTTTCCCTCCTGTGTAACGGTCGGTAATTATCTTGTTGTGGCTGGTGGGGAGGTTAATAGTGAACCTGTCCCAGTTGTTGAAATACTCGACGTTACCAAGATGACTTGGCACTTTGTTCTACCATTTCCAACGAGAAATATTTCACGGATGACAGTTTCGACTGATGGGACTTTTGCTTATTTTCTTGGTGGTTTCGAAGAAGGCTCTCTCTCCAAACTAGCATATGCCGTTAATGTCAGTAGACTGATTGCTGAGACAGAGAGAAGAGAAGGAAAGAAACTCTGGTTAGAGCTCTCTTCCCTTCCCGTCTCTGGTGCTACCTGTGCTTCGATTAGGAATCGCATCCTAGCACTTGGTGGCTACGACACTATGAATAAGAGCTCATCCGACCTGATTTACGAGTTTGACCAGATCGAAGGCTCCTGGAAGCCTACCGGCCATCTTCCCCGACCTTTTACAAGAGGACTGGTTGCTGTAGCAACTTATGAAAGTCGCAAGTTACTTGTCGTTATTGGAGGTAACATGACCAACAATATCAGTACAGCTACTAATATTGCATATCTTTAACATTATTATGAAAAATTGTATTAATACAAGTGTACATTTTTGTACTATGTACATGTATTGTCTAATTCCTTCTCTGACACTCTCTTTAGTTTTGCCTTTATCATGTGTATTATAGTATTTTTGTGATAGTGTGATGGATTAACAACATTCTCTATTATTTTCATGTTATCAGTGTAAATTAGTCTGTTGATGTGGCGTTTACTTATTGAATTTAAATTAAAAATAATTATTTTTTTAGAATAATAAATTATTATTAGGAAACTCAGACTGTTCTACAGCAACAACTAATAAATCAAAAATAAATTAAAATAGTCTTATAAAACAAGCTGCTAGTTATCATACAGTACTATTCTTATTATCTTTATTCAGTGTCTGGGATGGGAGCAGGAGGTGCTGCTGTTTCTGCTTGAGGAGGAGAAGGAGGAGCAGGGGGAGCTAGATGATAAAACTTGTGCCCAGTTCTTGAGTCTTCATGAGAAAAAGTGTACCCGGGGATGTTTGGTTGAGTAGGATCTCCTCCAATACAGCGCTGGCTGAGTCTGCTGGCTGAATAGCAATCCTTATAAGTTGTTAGTCCTCCAAACGTCTCTTCTCTTGTGTATGGCTTCAATGGTGGCTTCATTGAAGCTGCAGGAGGTGCATAAACCCCACGATAGGACTTGCTTGTAGTAGAACATCCCTCAAATCTCTCGGCTGGAGGCTCGTAAGGACGCTCTTGTCTTATTGGCTGCTGCTTGTTGGTTACGTCCCATGCCTTGTAGTCCAAATGATGGATCGTGTCGTGCTCCATTGGCCTCTCATAATGTATGGCTTGCTGTCTTGGCTTGTAGTTTGTGACTGGTTCGGGTGGACCGTGATTGATGAAATCTTTGGTAAAAGACGTGAGCCCATCAAATTTTTCTGTTGGAGGCTGGTAGATAGTTGGAGGACGTGAGAATCGAGTAGGGAGCTCCCATTTACGATAGCTTTGTCTGCTGGTAGTCAGTGACTCAAAAGGTGCATCAGCACTCTTAGTAGCAACAGGTGGCCTCATGCTGCCCACTGGTTTGATTCCCTTGTGTCCTGGGAAATCGGTAGAAAATGTTGTTACACCACTGAAAGGTTCTTGGGGTGGCTGGTAAGCAATTTTTGATTTGTGGAACTTCTCTGGGATCGGAAAGATACGGAAATCGCTCCTGTGGCATGTGCTCCCCTCAAATGGATCGCGGGATATCTTTGCATTTTGTGGAGGCCTCATACTCTTTGTTGGCTCAGGGAGGAACTTTACATTGTAATCACTTTTGATTGTGGTCGTTTTAGCAAAAGGCTCAGTCGGAGGAGCATAAACCCTCTTCTCACCATAAAACTCTCGAGGTGGGAGAGTAAAAGCAACATAATCCCTTGCTTGAGTTGATTGTCCTTGAAAGGGCTGGCTTACAGACCTCATGTGAGATGCAGGGGGTAGTATAGGTTTAGCAGGCTCTGGAGTCTTGCTCCTATACTCCTTCTTGTATTCGCTTTCATTTGCCATTGAGCCATCAGGTTTCTTGTACACAGCAGGAGGTCGCTGCATTGGCATTGATACAGGATGCTTGATGTAGTCAAGTTTGTTTGTAGTGTCAGCTGTCATTGGAACATCACGAGAAAGAGCTTTCAATGCAGGCTTGTAGGAGTCTGGAGGTTTAGCATTGGAATGAGTGAGAAATACCGTCTTGTATTCTGTGGAGCCCATTTTAGAGACTGGCTCAGTCCTTGACATTATGTCATTCTTTGGCCTTGAAGGTTGGGGGCAATGGTGTCGCCTGCAGTGAGGATAATTTGCAAAATCATTTGCAGAATTTTTTTATGCTATTGACTTACCCGCATGTGCACAACTGACAGATGCACTTGTAATGTGACATTTTCCCTCGGGGCAGTCAAGGAGAATGCTCTACAGCAGCAGGAATGAGCGGGTGCGTATTTTCCCAGCAAAGACAATTCGAGTTTACCAGGACACTGTTGTCATAGAAACGGTAACTATGCAGTAGGCGTGATAGTTAACTTTCATCTAAAAACACGCGGGGTCTCCGTAGATCGATGCACACTCTCGTATTCCTGCCCACGTGTTTGGGAGGAGCAAAAAAATCATAGAAAATCATGTCGTCGGCCGTGCATTCTTGTAATTAATAATATTGTGATCCATTACCTTTTCATTGTCTTTATTAGTCTTGTTAAAGATGGCGCGGCTGGTGAGGAGTCCTTCAAAGACGAAAGGCTCTCCTGAAGGCCCCGAGGAAGAGTCAGAGACACCAGTGAGCACCTTGAGCTCTAATCCTCCTGGAAGTGATGGAGGTTACTATGGAGATGATGAGCCCAGTTCTTATGATGGGGACGTGGAGGTATTGTTGATAGAAGAGGAAGGAAGGGGAGGAGTACAGTCAGATAGGAATCAAATAAGTAAGAACGGTGTTGTTGTGTATTCTTATTATTTTTAAGTGGGTAAAAGTGTTCACTCTTTTCTTGATGCATGCACACATGTGAATGTACTTTGTGAATTTATGAAGCAGAGCCCTGGTTTATTTAACGTTATGGCATCCATTCACCATTTTGGGGGTTAATGCATATCATCCAAAAGTTAAAGGGACTATTATAATAACACTGATTATTTGAGTGAAAGTGTTTTCATTTTGTAATCATTATAAGCACAATATCCTCTTAATTTTTTTATTTTTATTTATTTATAGATTCAGTGCCAGCAGGAAGCAGCCTCTTTAGAGGAGCCAGTTCACTCTCTACGAAAGCTAAATTATTATTTGGACTTGTCATAGTGTTTCTCATAGCAATGTCTTGGGTTGGGTCGACCCAGACGGGAAAGAGTGCATTTGGTGGAAACTTTAAAGCTCCTTTCTTTCTCGTCTGGTTTAGTACGGGCTGGATGATTATCATTTTCCCAGTTTCTATACCTTTTTATTTTATGACGACATGCAAGTCCCCGTCCCGTTCCTCTTTTGGTGATCTTTGGAAGTATGCTCTTTGAATATTTTTCTTTTTTATTTGATTAAAATTTTATCATTGATATATCTGTTTTCTTACTCTTTCTCCCCCCCTCTCTCTCTCTCAGACATAGTCGTGAGATCATCAATCCTCCTGGCACTAGTACAGTCACTTTCCTTACGTCCACAATTCTCTTTACTTTGTTGTGGATGCCAACTAACTATCTTTACGCTAGGGCACTCATCACTATGGCTCCAACTGATGTCACTGCACTGTTTTCAACAGCCCCTGCTTTTGTCTTCCTCTTCTCAATGCTGCTGCTAAGGGAGCCTCCACTAATACTGAGAGTAAGTTATGGAATATATGGTGTGCTTTGTTGTATAGTATGTGAGTCATTGTGTTTGATTAATGGCATATGGTTTGAATGGCTAATGTGAATGCTATATTGCCTTAACATTGATTGGATGGAATAATGGGGGGGGGGGCTTGACATTTAAAACATTTTTAAAAATATAGTTTCATTTGAAATTAGATCTAAGCAATGTGTATGCATATCAGGAAAATTATAAAAGTGGAGATTAGAGAATTCTCTCCAAGCCATTTTGACGAAATTTGGTCTTTGACCAAATTTTAGAGTAGCTTTAAAAATTTGTAAAAAAATTAATTTTGATTGGAATCAGCTCAAACTTGCTATGTAGCATAAGAACATGTATATGCATCAGAAAAAAATATAAAAATGGAGAATTCTCTCCTAGTCATTTTTGGCGAAATTTGGCCGAAGTCCCTGTACTATAGTACATGGTCTCGAGCCAGATTTTACCAAAATTGAAAAGGGGAGAATTCTTCATTTTTATATTTTTTCCGATGCATGTACATGTCCTCATGTTGTATAGAAAGTTTGAGCTGATTCCAATCAAAATTGGATTTTTTACAAATTTTTTAAGTTGTTAAAATCTGGCTGGTTTTTGCTTGTCACAGATTTTGTAACAATGGAACCAATGGGTTTTTTGCTTGTCACGGATTTCATGACAATGGAACCAATGGGTTTTTGCTTGTCACGGATTTTGTGACAATGGAACAAATGGGTTTTTGCTTGTCACAGATTTTGTAACAATGGAACCAATGGGTTTTTGCTTGTCACGGATTTCGTGACAATGGAACCAATGGGTTTTTGCTTGTCATGGATTTTGTGACAATGGAACTAATGGGTTTTTGCTTGTCACGGATTTCATGACAATGGAACAGATGGGTTTTTGCTTGTCATAGATTTCGTGACAATGGAACTAATGGGTTTTTTAGTGGGTGGGTGATTCATTTTGACTCTTTCTTTGTTCATTCATGTAGTTCTTTGCTGTTGTCTTGGCTGTTGGTGGTATAGTGCTCTTCTCTTATGAAGAAGGATTTGGTTCTGCTAATGTTGTTGGTATTATCCTTTCAGTTGGTAGTGCCATTGGAGCAGCACTTTATAAAGTAAAGCCACATAGAAAGCTGTGATGCATGTACATGTATGTATATTGTACATTGTATAAAGTTTGAGCCAGTTCATAATGTAGAGTTATGAACATCTGCTTATACCACATTGTTATCTGTTGTAGACATTATTGAAACGTCGTGTGAAGGAGGCTAGCCTCTATCAGATGAGTCTGTTCTTAACATCGATTGGGATATTCTCAACTGTAGTATTCTGGCCTATATTGCTTGTGCTTCATGCCTCAGGTGAATGAATAGCCATTTAATTATAATTTACACAAAAATATTAAATGATTTATAAGTTCTTATTTAGGTGTAGAAGTCATTCATGATGTTCACTGGGGCTTCATATGTGCCCATGCTGTTATGGGAGTCATCTTTAATTTTGCCATTAATTTTGGGATTGCTTACACATTCCCTCTCTTTATATCACTTGGTACGATACTGGGAATCCCAATTAATGCCCTCTTTGATGTCTCAATTCGTCACGTTGACTTAGCCAACTGGAAGATCACGGCAATGGATCTGATAGTTGGAGGGTTCCTGTTGATATTGGTACCACCGGATTCCTCTGAATGGATACACAGGAGAACTTGTGCTCTGTTTAAAAATTGTTGCAATAAACTCACAGGTGCTAGATAGCAGGTGTCCCAATAGAGCTGGAGACATTAATGAACTATTTGTGTCATTGCGTGTATATATTATACTGATGAGATATTGTATCTTTATTTTATTACCAATAAATGTATGTAAAATCATTTATAAATTTAAGTTCACACCCACACACTGTAACACTTGCTGCTGTTATTAATATATTTATTTTAATTTCAACAATAATAATAATGATTATTTTGATGTGTTTTGTTCGCTCTCTTCACTTCCATTGCTAGTTTTCATTTCCTTTTGCAATATGAATGCATCAGGTGGGTCGATCCTCTTGTAATAATTCTCTTTCTTTCCGACTATCTCGAAACCAAATTTCTTATAGAAGGTAATAGCCTCGTCATTACTGACTTGAACATGTCTTTTTAAAAGTTTTTAAATAAGTAAAAAAATTACGAAGTACTCACAGAAATATGCAATCAATGTTTCCGTCTTCTTTGGCAATCTTCATTACATGATTAAAAAGCATTGTACCTGTTTGAATATCATCACATGACATATCATGTGACTTTGTCTCTTACCTACACCGTGTCGTCTATAAGCAGCCAGACAGCCCAGCGTCATTATGTACAACTTTCTCTTGTCTCCCTCATGGTCTATTCTACAGCAAACTCCACCCACAACCACATCATTGTAATAAGCTGTTGGAAAGGGAATACAGATCTACTCTGTCTCTCTATCGTTACCTAGTTTGGCTAAGTTTCCTAGTTCCAGTACATCTGTGTAGAACTAGTGTGGATGATAATGGAGTCACTTATAATATTGGTCCTGGGTCTTACCTTGTCAGAGTAGGCTACTGGTAGAATGACTGCGTTTAACTTCTTCAGTTGCTTAAGATTGTGTACTGTGACATCTCCTAACTCCATTCTAGCACTAAAAAAGTGATTCTAATTTACACAGTAGCAGAATTCTTCTTACTCTACAATCCTAGGCATCTCTTCTCATGTGCAGTGCTCTGTGCCCAGTGCCCACGCATTTGGGTGGGGGTTAACTGTAAGTATTAAGTAAAGGTTTAGGTTCGTATAATGGCTCAAAGCCATCATGAAGGCTCATCTTTATTATTAAACCATAGTTCAGACCATGGACCCAGCATACAAGAGTCTGTGCAGAGTTCTCCATCACATAAGAGATCCTTCTTTTGTTGCCAGAGACCCGAGCGGCTGTGGAGCACTACTATTGTAGCCCTAGCAGCTGCTCTGTCTCCTCTAGTAGGTGGATATGCAGTGGGATATCCATCCTCTTCTCTTATCAACTTGAGCAACATGACACACAACCGCTCCTTGGTAAACGGGTCTGTTCTTGTTGATACTTATGGGGTGAGTCAGCTTACAAAATGGGTGATCCACATTAATGTTTTTATTACCACATGTAGGCTTTAGTTCCCTTTGGTGCATTATTTGGAGGAGCAATGGCTGGCTTTTCGGCCGATACACTTGGACGTAAGCCAACAATTGTCATAGCACTGTTACCATATTTTGTGGGTTGGATTATGCTTGGAATTTCGTGGTTCATTAACAATTCAATTGCTTTTAAAGTGATCATACTAGTTGGTCGGTTTATAACTGGCGTTGGAATAGGATGGGCCATGTTGATTGGACCAGTAAGTTATTTTTAACATTTTCTTGTGCAAACAGCATGAGTTGCATGTGACACATTCATAATGCATATATTACCTTGTATCATATCATCTGCATTACAAACTGTTACACTATTGTTACTATGTAGGTTTACATTGGAGAAGTTTCTACTCCTTCACTGAGAGGGCTTTATAGCTCACTGCCACAGCTGCTACTAAATGTTGGGATCTTCCTCATATACTGCATTGCAGTCATCCCTGGCATTGAATACTACCAAACTGCTTTCATTGCAGCCAGCATGAGTTTCATTGTATTTCTCATTGTGATATGGCTACCAGAAACACCTCGGTTTCTCATTGCCAAGGAGAACTTTAAAAAGGCTTTGAAGGTCCTCGTGTTTCTACGAGGACATACTATGAATGCTCAAGAAGAGATAGCAGAGATTGAAGGAGCAATTGCAAAGCAGAAGAAGCTCACTTGTATTGAGACCCTGCGTGAGATGAGACATCGTAGCGTCTACCTTCCGTTTATATTGATGCTTGTGCTGATGTTCTTTCAACAGTTTTCAGGCATAAATACAATTGCATTTTATGGTGAAATAATACTAAAGGATGCAGGGCTGAGTCAAGAAATGGCAAAGTACATGGCCCTTTTGTCCATCGGTCTTTGCCCTGTTATTTTCACGCTGCTTACTACATTAACTGTTGATTTATTTGGACGAAAAATCCTCCTAATGGCCAGTGCTTTAATCATGGGTTTCAGCTCGTATTGCTTAGGTCTATTCAACAGATACAACAACCTCAATGTATTGGGCATCGTGTCAATGATATGTTTTGAGTTTGGATTCAGCATTGGATATGGACCCATACCATGGATTATGATAGCCGAAATGATACCTTTA